TATGGACATCCCCCATCATACAAGTGGTTAGATATCCAGGAAGGGAATAGAGGAAGAAGGCATAGATCTTCTTGGGATGTGAACATATAAATAGAACTGGGACTGGAGGTGGGACATAAAAGGAAATATCAGATGGAATGTGAGAGGATAGCTGGGGTTGAGTGAGAGAATATGAATAGAGAGTACTAGAATTGAGGGCCATTAGAAGCTAAAACTTACTAAAATGTATTAAAGCAATTGTAAGGAAGTTTTAAAAAATACTACAAGACAAAGCCCCAACTCACCATGCCATGTCACTAAACAAAGCTTCCAGTACTGGGACTGTGTTACATCCAATTGAGTTGTTGGCCAAAGAGGCCTCATGGAAATCTACAAAACCTAGTCTATTGCCACCAAAATAGGTTGTTCTTCACAAACTGACTGCAAGGCCCCATTGCTGAAGAAAATGCCCATACAAATCATGGAATGTGGGGAATTAGAATTGGTCCCTACATAGAACATTTATCCATGTTCTTGTTTCTTTGGTATTGAGGTAGAACGAGTGTCCAATCAAGAGGGAATGAAGGACAACAGGATAACAAGACTCTCTAAATCAACTGTGCAAAGTTCATATGAACTCATATGAAGACGCAAAATAGGGTATAAAGAGTCTCTCCCATGCCCTTTGTGTATATATACTTCTCAGTTTAGTGCAAGGGTTGAAAGCTACAATAGAGACAATAAAAAAACACAGTCTGAAGGAATTCTGGAATTAGATAAGGTGGGTAAATGATCAGGAACTATATATGTAAGCATAACCAACAGAATACAAGAGAGAATCTCAGGCGGTGAAGATACACTAGGAGAAATAGATTCTTCCCTACCAGGTCCGCCAGTCCCCCACCCAATCTCTACTCCGATCCCCAGGTAGAGTGAGACCCTCCATGGTGGATTTCAAGAGTCTGTCATGTCATCTATATGTGAATACAGTATTTATGTCAATTTTCCTGTCCTTTCCCACCTCATGCCTCCCAACTTCTACTCAAATTCACACACACACACACACACACACACACACACACACACACACACAAAGTATACATATACACAAACACACATTGATATTTCTTCCATTCACATTGAAATATTAATTGGTATTGTCATTATGTTGGTCTTATTTAAACAAGCACAGTTTTGAGATTTCACAGGACAGCTACACTGTCATTTATAGAAGTCCTGCTACTCTGGCTGTTAACTCTGTCACTTGGGGATGTTCTCTGAGACTTAAGGGTTGTGTTATACACAAATCATTCAGTGAATCCCATTTTTACCTATTCTCTGCATTTTGACCAGGTAAGATTATTTGTCTTGGCCTTCACCTACTAAAAATTTCTTTATTGAAGAATGAGAGATAATCTTGTCTCTGAGTATAAGGATAATTGTTTAGAATACTGTTAGAAACTCTACTGATTTCAGAAAATGGAAGTAGTATGTTTGTATTTAGGGTCTATGACCTCACCACCTTTAAGAGTTGATGGGCAATGTTCTTCTGTATATATGTTTCTCTTAGTGGTTAATGGGTAAAACATCAATTGGCAGAGTGGCCATACAGTAAGTGACATAGCAGGGAAGAAACTTGCCACTAGCTAACCATAGATGTCTGGAGGTCTACACAGATAGACAGGAAGTGACACAGCTAGGCAGAATCAGAATATGAGCAGGGGCAAACAGGAAATTACTTACTTTTTGCAGAAATGCTTAACAAATCTTCACGACTTGGGGCAGAAATTTCAAGTTACAAATAGTAGTCTAGGTATACATTATCAGGGATGGATTCCCCCACCCCCTAGTTAAGCAGATCTTAATCCAATCAGACAGATTTGGTTAGTAATTTTATACTATTTCTTCATATTTACTACTTTTGCATTGTTGGATATTTCCTTTCAGGATTGATATTGCAGTCTGTAGACTTTTTAGCTGAGAAAGACTATTGACTGTTTTTGTCTCTCGGAAATTTCCAGTGCTATAACAAACAGTGTCACCTCTGGGTGTAGGGTTACATGTCAGTTCCAGCTTGGCTTCATCTATCTGAAGTATGTCATGTTCCAGACATATTTTATTTTATAAGGTACAAGTTCCATAAATTAGAGGTACTACACATGACATGTATTTTACAGATTTTCAAAACTAGTGTTTATATTTTATATCTGATGAAAATTAATAATAAAGATAGGAAGAACATAAGATTACGATATTAGCTTTTAACAACAGAACTAATTAATCCCTACAAATGTTATTAATCTTTCATGGTTATTACTTTAAAAGATATGAGCTAATTATCATCTTAAAGATATAATTTTAACATACTATAGGTTATTTTTGGCTATAGGATATCTCTTATCAAAAATTGGTTAGCATTATTCACGTACTATACTTCAAGCCTGATGTACTAGCATCAACAACAATAATGAATGCCTAACAGACTAAGGCAATGTTTGACAGCTGATGATCCCAGGGAAATATCAATGACAGATAACACATGACTTAAACTTTTAACCAGGTTGAAGAGTAAAGACTTCTGCTCTTTAAATCATTGCCCTGGATATTTATGTTTTATCAATATATTTACTCAGTATTTACTCTTGGCTGTAAAATGTTCCTGTGCTTTAGGAAGAGTAGGTTGTAAGCCTTAGGGCTGGGTTCCCATATGGCAGCATGTTCAGGTTAATTATTGGGGTTCAGTTGTCCGCTGTTAGATACAGAGACAATTAAAATTTTTTTTCATTCAAAAACATGTTTTAATGATATTTAGTATCAGTGACAAGAAAAGCAAATATACACCCACCAATGTTCTCTGTATCTCAGTCAGAGCAGCCTTCCATAGTATAAATTCAATATGCATTACATTCTGACTGACCTGAAAGTTTCCTCTATGAGGACTAGATTTCAAAGTACAAAAAGATTCTACACAAGTTTTTATGAGTAGAAAACAACCAATATTTTCGGCTATGACAACCATGAACCATAATGACCAGCTTGGAAATATCCTTAAGGAGATAGTAGTAACACTCATATATTAGTAGTAACCTACTCTATCTAAAGGGCCAAAGACCCACTCAACATTAGGTAAATGATGTCTTGTATTAGAAACTTAGCCAACTATTCAATGCTAGGGAATTCATGGACCTTAGAGGAGAACACAGTACTTTCCCTTTACTAGACTAGTTTAATCCATAACTGTGTTATAAATTCTTATCTTAACACTCACAAATAAGTGCATCTCTCAGTTCTCATCAATGAAATTTCTCTGTGCATCAGGCAGAGACCATTACAGAAAAGCATGACTGGTTAAAATGTTGAGAACTCCAACTGATGCATCTACAAAGCAACCATACACTCAGGAAACATCATGAAAGTGCAAGTGTGAAGATTGTTAGAGCCAGAGGACCAGGAAGTTTGCTTCAAGTTTGTGTCTCTTATAAATGACACAGAATCTATACAAAGAATAATAATATCAAGAAAAATGGTTGCCTAAACAAGATCAGAGCACATCAATAAACATGCTAAGGGGGAAAATCTCATGGAGATCCAAATCCATCCTTATACAAAGAGATGGTACTGGCAATTAAAAACTTCTCCAGGCATGAACACCCTAATTCATTATCCAATGCCAAGTAATTGACCCTGAAAACATATACACACATGCAAACTATACAGAGTCAGCAGGTGTATTTATATATTTATAAATTTATGTACATGCATGCATGTGTATGTGTAAAACAATAACAATTAATGAAAATAGACCATGAATTTGACAGGAAATGGGGGGGCTAAGTGTGGATGGAGTGAGAAGAGGGAGAATGTAAATGATCTTATAATATTTAATTAAAAATATTGTCTGGGCTGGAAAAATGGACCAATTCTAAAGGGCATTTATTGTTCTGACAAAAACAAAACAAACACAAAAATGGGGTTTGTTTCCCTAACCCATATTGTATCCAACAATCGTTCATAATTTGAGTTATAGGGGATCTGATACCTTTTTCTTCTCTCCATGAATACTGCATACATGTGGTATATAATTGTATATGTAGGCAAAATGTGCAAACACATAAAATAAATATATAAAATTTTAATTCTAAAAAAGTAACTGATACAGAGAGTAACCACTAACTAATAAAAATGTTCTTTTTTGAATAGAGAAAATTTCTAAAGTGGATTTGGTGATGGTTGCACTATTTTGTAATTGTATTTAAAGCCACTAACCTGCAGCATAGGACTGAAGAATATAGTATGTACATTAGATTTCAATGAGGCTATTACTCTTCATAGCAGCAGTAACATGCAAATGATCACATTTGTAAAATATATCCTAGATACTAAAACATAACTGAGTATAGACTGTTGACTATATTCACTCATATTAAATAAGCACAAAATTTCCCATTTTAAATAGACTTTTAAACGCCTTTAGTCCCAGCACTCGGGAGGCAGAGGCAGGTGGATCTCTGTGCGTTCGAGGCCAGGTTGGACTGACAGCCTCCAAAACAATACAGAGAAACCCTGTCTCGTAAAACCAAAAAAAAATAGACTTTAAAAAATCAGTTTCATTTATTGATAAATTTATTCCTGGAACATAAATTTCATTTTAATTTGTTTTTTTCAAATTTTGGACTTTAATAAAGTTTTTAATAAAAAGTAACTAATGGAAATAATATACTGAAGTGAATTTATATATACATGCATCGCTCAGTCCATATATATGTGTGTATGTGTGTGTGCGGGTGTATGTATATATAGTGACAGAGATAGATATGTAGGGAGATAGACTATGGATAATATGTGAATAAATCATAGATGATAGTTAACAGACAAAAGGTGGGCGATAAAAATTGTATGTTTGATTTAAGATCCTAATCGCACATACAATTATTTTGAATTCAGCAAGGAATTCAAATGTTTTTCACTCATTTTCAATTGCTAGCATTGCCATCCTATTTCTCATGCCACCTGGTACATATTACCTTTGTTGCCGCATCATAGCAGATGAAGCCAGTGCCGAAGTCAATAGTGAGACCCATTAGGTGACTCTCCAGCACACATGCATAGGTCTTACACTGGAAAAAATGGAGAAACTGTTAGTTTCCATGTGACTGATATAATCTCACTGTCAAGGGGAATATAACATGACCTCCCTGCATGTAATACTTAGTATCTGCTTGAGTGATGTTCAGTATTAGAATACATTCCTAACAGGAATATGACCCTGGATTTGATCCCCTGGATTGTAATTTTACTTGTAAATATTTTTAGAAGATAAATGTTGATACTAACATATAAAAGGGACTTAAATCAGATATGAAATAACTTAGACCTCATGTACAACATGACACATTTTATGTCTAGTTTTCTAGTTTTATTTAAATTTGATTTAAAGCTTGATTACTATATTGGATGAACTATAATTATGATTCTCATGTCAAGTAGCTATTTCTTTCCTTCAGAAATTTTCTAAAAACAATGCTTATATTGTATTTGTTTTATAATATTTATACAAAATATAATGAGTATCACAAATGGCTATAATTATAGGTAAGCGTATCAAATTCCTTTCATCAGAATGTTATGTACGTATCAGTAAAGCCTAATCGGCATTAAAAGTTTATAAAAATGACAAATGCATATTTGGGGTTAAAATAGATTAGAAGACAAACTTAACTGGTATAAAAGAAATCCATGCTGGGGTGCAATCATATTTATTTAATATACAGACATTTTAGATAGCTACATTCAGTCATTAGTAATTCACTTAAACTAGTATCAACATTAAGGAGTGCTTAAGCCTCCATTGTTTCCTTTTTATTTAAACTTAATTGTTTTCTACAGCCATTAAAAGGAAGATTCCAGTTGCAATTCCATTTGTTATAATGCATTAGAATTTTCTCATTAAGTTCAGCATTCCAAATTACATTGCCAGTAATCATTAAGTGGAACCAAAGAATTGTATAAGTTGAGATCCACTATTTTATTTTATTCTGTACCTTAAATGTCAATAAATATAATGAATGCACTTAATATATTTAAATATGAAAATGTTTGTTTATTATGTAATTGCTACATTTATGTAATTAAAAGCTATTTCAGTGTGAAAAAAGTGATAACCAAAAATATCCTTTTATAGAAGCTCCAACATAAATCACTTGACAAGATTTTTGCATACTTTTTGCATGTTATACAGAATCTACAGGTAAAATATACATATGATAAATATCTTTTATTGTTGCTGTTTTTGATTTTTGGAGACAGGTTTTCTCTGTATTGTTTTAGAGGCTGTCCTGGAACTCACACTTTAGACCAGGCTGGCCTCGAACTCGCAGAGATCTGTCTGCCTCTGCCTCCTGAGTGCTGGGATTAAAAGCGTGTGCCACCAACGCCCGGCTGGAAAAATATGTTAAAGAACCTCTGAAAATCAGTTTCTACCAGTAGATAACCACACACATGAAATTAATCAAAAATACTTTAAAATATTTGTAGTATTTTTAATTAACATACTCTCCAAAACCTCCTATTAAAAGAGGTAATTGTTTAATTTGGTTAGTAAATATTTATGAACCAACTGTATCCTTTACTGAAAAAATCCAGTAAAATTAGCCTAAATGAATTACATCTCATATTATTTCTTCTAAGTCAGGAAATGTAACATATTGTTTACCTAAGAAGTGCTTTTGTGTTTCAATATTCACTGTATTTTCTAAAGATTAAAAATTTAAATGAGACTGTGCAATGTACACAAAATATGTGCTTTTATGGATCATTGTTTCAAATAAATATTCTATTCTTTTTTTCTTTTTTAATTTAAATTAGAAATATGCATGCCTCAAATGTCAATCCCAGGTCCCCCCTTCTCCCTCCCAGGCCCACCTATACCCCCAGCCCAATCCCCACATCTTTCCCCAGGGAGGGTGAGGCCCTTCTTGGGGGGATCTCCAGAGTCTGTTATTTCATCCAGGGCAGGACCTAGGCCCTTCCCCATGTGTCCAGGCTGAGAGAGCATCCCTCCATGTGGAATGGGCTTCCAAAGTTCATTTGTATGCCATGGTGAACACTAATCTACTACCCAAGGTCCCAGAGATTTCTGAGGCCTCCTCACTGACACTACATGGAGTTTGGATCAGTCCCCTGTTGGCCTCTTAGCCATCAGTCTGGGGTTCAAGAGCTCCCCCTTGTCCAGTCAGCTGTCTTTGTGGGTTTCACCAGCATGGTCTTGACCCCTTTGCTCATCACTCCTCTATCTCTATTACTGGGTTCCTGCGGGTCAGTTCAGTGTTTAGCTGTGAGTATCTGTCTCTGCTTCCATCAGTCAGTAGATGAAGGTTCTAGGATTTCATATAAGGAAGTCATCAACCTTATCATTCGGTAGGGGCTATTAATGTAGTCTTTCTGCTATTGCTTAGTTTTCTAGTTGGTGTTATCCTTGTAGATCTCTCCTCTTATTCTAAGTTTATTACAAGTTCAAAACAAAACATAAATAATTAAATAAATATATTTGCAGGTAGAAATCATTGCTTTGTAGTACTTGTAATACAAGCATATTTCAAAAGAAAAGCTTCTTTATGGCTTCTTTTATGGCTTCTTCAATAGTATTAATTAAGGTATTAGTTTTCTTCTTTTAAGCTTATTTTTCATTAGCTCATGTTTTCCTATTGTATTTTGCTGTGTTGAGACAGGGTCTCATAGCAGAGGATGACACTCAACTTTTTTACCTACCTTTCCCTCCCAGTTGCTGGGATTATAGGCATGTACTGCCAGGTCCTTATCATTAATTTTGGCCAACTTTAAGGAAACTGAGATATTCATTCTACAAAAATTAAACAATATTTTCCTGCTAGTACATTCACATTCTCAAATGTGAAAATGAAATTCCAATCCTTTTAACTAATTTACCCATTCCTAGTGTAGTTAAAAAAGAGAAATTATAAAATATAAGTCAATCCAAGAGTTGAGTATAATCCACATATTTTCCTTTCATTTCAGTTATAATATGTGTTTAAAAAACTAAGTGTCCATGCATTCTAGTGCTTGATATATAAATCCATTCCAAGGGGAAAGAACCTAATTAACTTTAAATTTTGTTATATCTTATTCCAGGACAATCACAGAACCAATTCTGTGATATATCTCATTTTAGATACTCATGAATTTGAGTGGTTAAAGGGTTTATGAGTTTGATATAGCTTTATACACGAGAACAATTCAGTAAATACCCACTGCCCACTTGTGACTTGCAAAATATCTTAGACTTCAACACATAGAGGAATGAAATAAGCAACCTATGACAGTATTTTTTTAATGTTATGATGTAAGTCATCTGAAGCAAACAGTGAAACACTGAGTGAAAGAAAACAGTGAATGGAATTTTTGCTACAGTGAGAATCAGCAGAACTGTTGTGAAAGGAATCTGGGAAGAAGGCATACATAGAAATTGAGGCCCATGGATGAAGGAATCTTTGAAGAAAGCTTTGCATACTGTGCATTGTTCTGAAAGGCATAGTTGAAAGGGATACATATAGAAATTAGGTGGCCAAGTCTGCAGAAAGGAAACAACCTCATAAATAGGGAACAACAGCAAGAGTGTTTTCTATATGAGATTCAAATCATAGGAATATTTAATAGGAAGTAAACTAGGAAAGCAAATTAATGGAAAAACTTCAGTGATTATTTGGATATGCCTACTTACTCATTTTTCAAAAAAGGCTATCAATTAGAATCATTTGAAATGGAAGACAACCTCACAGAACTGTGCTCATATAGTTCCTGAACTCCAGTGAGTGGTTAGATGTCCCCAGATACCACACAAAGCCCTCCACAGTCTCTTACCTGTATCCTCTCCACTTCTAGGAAGGTGGCCGTTTGGAAGGCTCGTTCCCATTGGGCAAGGTCACTCTCTAACTCCACAGAGAAGTAGAAGTCCTCCCCACACTCAGACTGCATAGTAAAGCAATATTTCCGCCGATCCAGCAGGTCACTGTCCTGATGAAAACCTGGAGTTACACAGGCTGGCATACATCAATTCTTACTCAGCATAGCAAATGCCTACCAAGTTGCTTGATACAAATGGGTAGATTTCATAATACGCATGGAATTCTGTACTGTCATTAATCTTAAATCAGAATGGTCACTACAAATAAATTTTAAACTCCACATATGACTCCATTTTATTTTGTAACTACTGATGCTCATCCATCATTCTTAGTAACAAAGGAATAACTACAGTGCTGAATGTACATACACAAAGAATCTGTGATTGCAAAATGGCCTGATACACAACACCCTGATTTCCTTGCCAACTGTCTGGGCACTGAGATGTAATAGTGCTTGTGATGGTGTTGGCATCTTTCACAGCAATGAGAAATTTTCACTGAAATGATTTTTTTTGTAAATAGTTAAATTCATGACCCCATAGAAAATTAGGAAAAACTTAGTGCAATTTTTCTACACCAATTACTTTGTATATCCCCCTATGGCAAGCATTTTATTTATACGTGTAATTTCATTTCATTGTACCAAAGATTTTGCTCCTAGAAATTTCTTGGTTAGGTCCCAAATTTTTCACTAAGGTGTTCACCTAATCCAAAACATTTCAATTCCAAGGCACTTTGAAAATTGAGATATGTTATATATGAAAAAGTAGAGGACAACAGTCTGTACTACATTCTCAGACACATAATTTGAAATACTTATTCTGTGTACTGAAAATTTTTGAGAGGCTAGTCACTGGCATCAAGCTGCTGAGAGAGGAATGCATGCAGATGTACCATCACTAAACTGTGGAAATGCATCGAATCCTTGGCTTTGGCAATGATTTAAAACAGAATATCTAACTTCCTTGCATTCCAATTTGATTCTTGTAGGTACATACTGGAGGAATAAAGGCAGTTACTTCCAGTATTATAGAATTAACTCTGACTCTTGCTGCCTGAAAACTTTCAGAGAGCTAAGAAGATGGCATAGGCTTTGTCAAAAAAAAATTAACAAGACAATGTGAGCATAGTACAGAGATGATAGGTGACTGCAGGAAGAGATCTTAAGTACCCATAGCGCTGACCATGGCCATTTGGGCGTGGTCACGGATATGTAGAATGTACGGGATAGAAGAGCTGAGGGGAAGGAGATACTCTCTCTTGGGTTCCGGTTGCATCCCGGAGAGCAGTGTGCGCACCTTTGGTTCTTGGCCTTCTTGGCTTCTCACGTAAGTGATTTCTCCCTTAATAAAATATCATATGACATCTATATTTTGTGTAGTTTAATATTTCTGCAATAGGTGACAAGGTACTTTTGGTGATTTGGAGAAATCATTATGAGTACAAGTACAAAACTGTACTGTGTGGTGCATATGAATGGATTTTATAAGAAACTTGAACTTAACAGTGTCTGAAAAATGAGATTAACAGTTAACATAAAATTCAGTATTGTTGTTTCAGAAAGGGGAAAGCTTTTTGCAGAAACCCAAAGCATATGAGTATTAGGGCACCCAAAGTCCCCTAGGAAATGTACCAAGACCTTTCAGGATAGGAAATGCGGTCTATTTGTCAGGCACTAATTTTGAACTAGAAACTATCAACAAAGTTTCTTGATATCATGTATCTATGTTGCCAGTATTTTATCTTATAATTAAACTTCTAAAAATTAATAACCTTGGCACAAAATTGCTAATAGCATTTCACTTCTCAGAATTTGTCAATTTTATTATTTATTATTTTGGTCTTAACTTCTTTTGGCATGTGTTGGAAGGGGTTTGTGGTGCTCTTATGAACATGGGTCGGACGCTGGCCTCCTTATGTAATAAAATGTTTACATCTACCAGTAATGTCATATAGCTGGTGACCTCAATTTTCTTTTTATGTGGACTTTTTCTGTTTTGTTTTGTTTTGCTTTGTGAGACAAGTTCTACTATTGGCTAGAAAAATCACTGTAGGGCCAGCTCATCCAGGGATCCTCTGTCTTCTCCTTTTCACTGCTAGGATACTATGCATTTTGATGTTAACACCATTTCTTAGGTATTAACATCCTTGCTTGAATGTTGTTCTCATGTTTGTGCAGTGGGCAGTTTACCTTATCAGCTATCTCCCTAGACCCAATCCCCAATTCTTTTGTTATCAGAAACGATCATCTATGGAATTGCTATTCAGGCATTCTTTATTCTCATAATGAGGACAGAATCTTAAAGGGACTTTCACTGACATATTTTATAGTCTATTGATGAAATCTAAATACCTAACCCTTTTTAAACTATATGTAGCAGCATTTATTTCTGAGTGTTAAGCCCTTTAAGAACAATGTGTCTTTAAGCAATCCGGCAAACAACATTTCAGCAATTCTGAATAATTGCATCTGCAAAATATCTCATACTGTATAATTCTGTGGGCATATGAGCATTAGGTATGTAGCTGAAAATAGCAAAAAACACTGTAAGAATGCTGTGATTTAATAGTCAATAAAATGGTAGGAGAGAATATAAGAAACAAGAATGTTTTCTAAGAAAAGCCTGTAATGTCATCAAGAATAAAGTCAGGTTAGGTTGTCACTGCATCACAAGCCAAGAAGATGCTAGCATTCTGACAAGAATCCTGCACTACGGCTGAATAAAAGCAGGAGGGGGTCAAGAATGAGCAGAATTTGTTACAGAGAGCAGTGCATAGGAAGTCAAGAAGGGAAGAGCTACAGAAAGTCAAAAGCTGAGGGTCTATTCTGACAGGTTAATGGAACTGTCCATAGCACCCCCCCAATATAGGTTTGCTTCAACAGTGGTGACCTTCAGTGAAGGTAATGCATATTTTCATTGCATTTCTATCTTTTCTCTCTGTACTGTATCTTCTTTGAACACCTACAAATAATGATGCATTTATATTTAAAATTATTTATATTTTAACTTAGTTTTTTATGATGGTAGTTCTTTACTAATACCAGATATCAAGGTTGGTATGCAGTAAAACGTATCTGTGGGTTTTTCATTATAAAATTGGCTCTGGAGACACATTGCTCTGAATTTGTCTGGATATGCCTTATTGTTAATTGGAAATTACAATTTAATAATGCTGGTTTAATACAAACAGGTAACCATATCATGGGCACTAACATTCTGTTTCAAGTGTGGCTTCTCTGGTTAAAGTGTTCACTTCAAGTTACAGCAAATCTTTCTATAGACAATGATCATATGATTAGTTACTGACTACATAAGCCAGTCAGACTACCAGGCATACAAGATTCTTCCACTGAAGTTAATGCCTGCCATCATCCTCCTTGCATTTATTATAACTGTTGTAACTGATATAAGAAATCACACTAGCAAATTCACATTATTTAAATTGAAACTAGTGGCCAATTTAACAGGTTTCATGGAAAAATCACCTGTACAAACTAGCTGATCAAACTGATATCTGGTCAAATAAATGAAATATATATTCAATAAAATTCCAACATTACCCTTATGTTTTCTGAAAATAACAAACTTCTCTATTGATAGAGAAAGGAAGGTCAGAAGTTCAAGATTATTTATAAATTTATAGTGAGTTTCAGGACAGCCTTGACTAATGAGACCCTGCCTCACTCATTATATTGATATATTTATTGCACATCTAATGCCATCTTAACAAATAAAAATATTTTAAAAATATTTCCTGACAGGCCACACCAGCCAGGGAAGCAGTTAACCTAACAGTAGATCACAACTCCCTCATCATCTCTGTAGCAGAACACCTGCTGCTGTACACTTCCTTCCCCCCTGGGACCCATCTCAGGTGGATCACACAGATTTCCCTTCCAAACTTCCCTAAGCCCTCTCTTGGCTTTATCCCAGCCCTCAAACCAAGCAGACCTTCCCTGGGAACCCACAGACCACTCCATCCAGGGAAGCAGACAGCATGCAGACCTTTGCCTCTACCTCCATTCTCCCAAGTCTGATCCTTTAGTCTCATCCCAGCTCTGTAGCAGATTTTCTGCTGTGACCTTGCCACATTTTCTGGCCCCATTCTCTAACAAAGTAGATTAAAAATCTCCTAGTTTATTGCTATGGCTGCTCACCAAGATAGAAAACATGTTTTATGCTAAATGTCAGCTACTACCCTTATTGTAGTTAATATTCAATATGTAGCCTGTGAATTTATCAACTTATGAGCAAATTGCTTCCCTGAAAGATAAAATTATTGAATATTTTAATTCTCCTTAGTTATTGAGTTTATAATTGCTTCATTTCTTCTCTTCCCTTTTCTCTCTCTAAACTTTATTATGTATTTACCTTACTCTCAAATTCATGGCTTTTCCCCCTTGTTTTTATACACACACACACACACACACACACACACACTCCTAAGTACACAAATATAAGTTCTTGACCCATTTAATATCATGTATATTTATATGATCTCAGGGTTGATAATATTTGAAAAAAGTAAATTAAATGCAGTTTTCATAATTCATCATTTAAAGTAAGATTTCTGAATAATTTGAAATAAAAACTTGACATTTGAAATATTGTAAGTCAATTAAAAATCAAACTATGTGGTGTTAATATATACATGCAGTGACACATATTAAACCTGTTTGTTAATCAGTCTCTTTATGGGGACTTCTATTAATGTTAAAATTCTCTCTTACACATAGATATGAATTCTGAATCCTTTGATTTGGATTCATGAACTAAAGAAATCACAAAGTGAAGAAAGTAGGGTCCTCAGGAGATTTTTGTCCCTTTCCTCTTCTCGAGGGGACCATGTGTGTCTCTCTTAGGGTCCTCCTTGTTTCCTAGATTCTCTGGTGGTATGGATTGTAGGCTGGTAATCCTGTGTTCTATATCTAGAATCCATATATGAGTGAGTACACACCATGTTTGTCTTTTTGTGAAAGGGATAGCTCACTCAAGATGGTTTCCTCTGGTTCCATCCATTTGCTTGCAAATTTCAAGATTCCATTGTTTTCTTTTTTTCCTCTGAGCAGTACTCCATTGTGTAAATGTACCATATTTTCTCTATCCA